AACAAATAGCCCAGCTGCTCTTTCTCAAGCTTATAACAGCCAGATCAGGTTTATTTAAGGTCAAGTCAAAAGTTAAACTCATCTGGACGTTTTTGCACGGACAGCATGGCCAATGTGTTTGTATTTGATGATTTTACATGCAATGTCTCAAAGGCCATTAATGGAAATATTGAAGATCTTTAACAGTTCTGAAACATCTTTCATTATCTAAAGCCAAGTCCAGTTTTGCTTCATTCAACTTATCTCTTAAAGTTTCCTCAAGTTAAAGATCTGATTATCTCAAACACAAACAGGTAATAGTTTTGTTAAGATGTCTACTTACACATTATTGTATATTTACGTTGGTGCACATTACCGTGATTATGATATTAGTTTTTAGCAGTGACAAAACAAAAGACATCAAAGTCAAACTGCAGCTTACAGTCACTGTGCGATACGACTATGGGACAACAATATATAAGCGGAACGATAACCCATGTTTTCAAAACAGGCACTATGATTGTAACAGAATAAAGAAATACATAAAAGTAGTCAAAATGGTGAAAATCTTTCAGACATCACAGATTAAAACATCAGCGATGGAGAAGCTTACCATTGAAAACCATGTGAGCTGTGGCGAGCAAAACTAACCCAAGTGGCTTCCTGATGATGTAGTCGACCATGGTGGAGGAAATGCTTCGCTTACTGACCTGGTGAGGTGTCCCTCGAGTGACTTGCCCTGGTTTGTTGGGTCCTTAGGTTGATTTAGCTAGTGAGTCAGTGTCTGTGTGTCTGTCAGGAGGAAATGCTTACAGGAACTTGCACAACACAGATTTATATCAACAGCATTACAGGCACCTCCTGTAACGGAAGACTAAGAAGACATTCATGGACATGTGGGGCAGATGGTGGAGAACTCGGTCGGGGAGGCTTTCACTCACATGGTGTCTGCAAATTCAGGAAGAGCAAATAGTTTCCTTCATATTTTGAGATAAAATTTTACCAGCAGAAAAAAATCATCTAACTCTCCATTCAGCAGACATGGGATTGGATGTGTCCTGATATAAAGCCTGTAGGCTATATACCTTAGTTTATTTTTTCTCAAAATACAAGCTGGTGAGTTGAAGCAGTCAAATCGCTATATCCTGTTTTTCTCTCAAAAGAAACTTGAATACCAAAAAAANACTATATACTGCAGTCCACTTCATGTACTTTATGATTTTATTGATACAAATTGTCTTTTTTGTTTATTTGTATTTGTTTTTTTATGCCTTGTTTGCTTTCGTTTGTGTTCATAATCGAGGCAGATTGATCCTCTTGTCCAAATGGTTATGTCACATACCACAAGTCTAAAAGACTGACCTCGTTCCTGGAGATGGACATGTCACCTCTCTTTTTCTCTGCCCCTAAAAACAGCCTACAAAAACATATTTAGTCTAATACAACAGTCCTGCAGTTACTCCCACCTTGATGACGTTATGATGTTCAGTTTTTAATGACACGGTTTCAGAGGTGTTGATTCTGTGTTTGTGAAACAGTTTGGTCATTGTGAACAATTAAGTTTGTGGTGCCGGTGAGCTGTATTGAATTGTAAAGAGACGCGTTTCTGTTATTTAGCCAAACATCACCGATATAAATGGGTCAAATAAATAGAGACGCCTGTCTATATAAGGCAATAGAATTCAATAACAGCACAAACTACATTGTCCCAGTTGCCTATTGAAACATCCAGCAGATACGGGGGAACTTAAGCATTCATTTAGAGTTGTGCTTCTGGCCTCTTAGCAAATGTTTGATCAATAGTCACTCTCCTTTTAGCCCCGTCTTTGGTCTTTACTGACTCCTGAGATAAATATCTGGTTCTTTAGCCGCTAAATGCTCCCCGATGTTCACCAGCTGGTCTCTAAGTGTGTCTGTCTGCCATTTGATGCTGAGCAGGTAGTTTACAGTGAGTGTTTAGAGCTTTTGTGAAAAAAATGTATAAATAAAGCAGTCCGATGCAGTGTGAGATGATGCGAAAGAGGTGAAAATGAAGTGAACAGTAAAGTTGCAGGTAATAAAACCAAAACAACGAGCTAAAAGACGAAAGATGAAACACTCCTCAGAGCTGAGGGGAGACGGAGAGACATATGATCATTTTCTCTGGGTTCATGAGCGATCCCTTTTAGATTACATAAGTAGCACCATTAAGACAAAAATGGATTAGTACCACTTGAAGAACAGAATACATATTTTTAAAGCATATCCATGTGTTCCTTACTCAGCCCATTTACAACAGTTTTCAGACATGAACACCGTAACATTGGGTGTAGACGTTTTCCAGGGTTTGCCTTTCACATTAGAAGAACGCAGCAGGTGACTGTTTTTTCGGATGAGACAAGTAGAGAACAACAGAAAATGTCTTTGGTTAGAGCATGCAGGAGACAGGATCAATTCCACACATCCCACCTCTCTGAAATATTTGCATTCTTTTTGTTTGTTTTATTAGAAACATCAACATGCCTTCTCATTTTCTGTGAATGTTCTGATCATTTTCCTGCTGTATTACATATTCTCACATGCAGGGCTCACTCGCATGAAATGTACACTTTAGAGAGCACATACAATATACTGGGCTCTGCAAAAATCTGAGATAGACGATGCATTTCAGAGATGACATTTTATTTAACTTCTTTTTTTCTTGTCCCTCTGTCTCATCATTTCTATTTCAGAAGGTGTTTTCCAACTTTTCTCAGAATCACTTTCAACAGTCTTCAGAGAGCCAGAATGAGGCTGTTGGTTGTACACGACAATGACTAACATCAGTTATATATTGGCTATTTTATTATTGAATGCTGAACCAGTGAATGTCACATACACATCAATCAGCGTGGCTTTACTTGCTTTACAAGTTGAAAATCTCCTCTCTCAAACCGCTTGAAATCACTGAACTCTGAATCATTATTGAAAGAAACACAACATAAAAAGTCTATAGCTGGAAATTTTCTTTGCCCTTTCGATCATTTTTAACAATTTATGCCGATAAACTCCAAATGAAATACCATTACTGCTTGTTTTTATGTGCTTAGGTGGTGGATTTCTCTCTAAAGCTGCAGCATAAATAGTCCACCCGCAAGAAAAAGGAAGACGATGAGGAAATTATGCTGCTAATTATACGCCGCATTTGTCAGGACATGTACAAATTCACCACACAAATAGAACGTTCTCAGCAGGAACCACCTTATTTAATGTTGTGTCCAGTGTCACAGTCCTAATAACCATTCATCACTACAATTGAGGACATTCTTAAGTCTGAGTTTTATGGAGCTTTGCTTAATTAGGGTAGGTCTAGCCAGGACGACTGTACACTGGCGGCAGCAAGAAAATTATTAATCCACCATGCATCACTGATGGTCTTTTGAAAAGAAAATAAGCTGAGTCATTCAGCTCTGATTAGCCATTATCACCTCTACCCACGACTCAACCGATATGAGAGTGGAGACGTGGACAGAGACACTTTAAAATATGAAATTCATTATTTAAAGACAAGAAAGACACTGCACCCTGAATTTCGCAGTCACGTTTACTTCCCTGACCCACATTGGGTGGGTAAGTTGCACAAACAAAAGAGAGAAATCCAGCACGCAGGCTTTCTTTTCCTTCTGCTTTGTCGCAGCAACTTATCTCTTGTTGAGCTAATGCATCATACAGGCACCTAAGCCCTATTAGGCTAATATATCATTCCTTCAATCCAATTCTTTTGTAATGGATTTTATGAAGTGAAAAAACCCTGTTCAGCACCTACAGGACCTCACCACCCGAGGCAACAGGCTGTGGCACCACTTACAATCCCTGGGTTATTTATTATGCATCCTGTTTTTTAATTAATGTAATTTCCTAGATGAAAGAAGTGATTAAAGTTCCATGGGGCTTGAGAGGAAGAGGAACCACCATGGTCAAATTGTGATGAAGTAGCGCTTGTTGGTGTACTTCCAACACCTAGCGGCCCAGAACCACACCAAGCCGGTGCTGCCACACTGCTACCACACTGCTGCGCTTCGTTTCCTCCAGGTTGGAATTGGTCGATAATTGGTCTGGATCTAAGCCATTCTCCTCCTTCCTCTCTTCCCAGGGTTTGATGAATACTTTACTGCACTCACCCTTGAGAACAATCGCAGGAACGTGTGGTTTGCTGAGTTCTGGGAAGAAAACTTTGACTGCCGGCTCCTCAGCGCCTCGAAGAGAGAGGATTCCAGCCGTAAATGCACAGGTACATGAGTTTTGACATTATCAAATTAGGAGAAATGTCTGTAAAGCACCAAAGGATGATGCCTAATTTCACTCTAATGTATCAGGCTCAAGTGAACTTGACCTTTTGTTCGTATTAGAAGCTGCAGAGTGTTGGGGTTTTAATTCAACCTCTCTTGTCTGTGGCTCAGCCAGGAAGTCTAACGCCAGGTGTTTCTACCCAGCGGGTGCAGGGCAGGCAGAGTTTATTATTAGAATAATAATGCACCACGTGGTGTTAGTCATAGTACAGTTACAGACCGTCTGCTCCTGTGGCTAATGTCCTGTATCTCTAAAATCCCATTTTCTCTCTATATTCCCCCTTAACCCAGTCACCTTGACGGCTCAGCACAGTCATGACGTGTATATTAACTGCACTGCGCCACAGTGGACTTCATTTAGGTTGGAAATTACAGGAAGGGAAACTAAGTAAATACTGTCCATGCCCCGTTCTGCTTTATTGCCATCATTGTGGTAGCATTAATGACAGAGCTGCTGATAACATTCTGGCATGTTCCTATTACTTAAACTGTGGCTGCCAGCATTGTGACTGGCATTGCTCTGCATTTATTATCTACGTGGATGATGCCTTTGATTTGGAATGCTGTATTAATCTGGCTTTCAGACTGCAATAACAGTGTGACACAAATTACTGTTTGCTGAGGGATTTTGTTTCCTTTATCATCTTTTTGTTTGGCATCTTTAGTCAAGCATCAGAGACACAGAGGATGGTTGTCCCACTTCATGTGCCCCACAAACCCTCTGTAAAATAACTATTAATGCTTGTTATCTTTTCTTCAGTTGCTCTGAAGATGACTGCAACACTGTCAATTTATTTTATTCTTTTAACACCTTGTGTCAAGCTTGGTATTTATAGATGTTAAATACTAACTGAAGGCTTTTGCATTCAAACACTGTCCATTGAGCCCAAAAAGATAAAAAGGCTACATGTGGGCTGAAATGTGTGCTAAGTTCTGAGAAATGGGCTGAAATGTCAGCACAGATTGCCTTTGACCCTCTTCAGTTAATACAAGTCTTCCACATCATCATATGTGTTCCATTAACATAATATGCTCCTCCACTCAACTTGTAAATTACTACCGGCTATCACCGAAGAGAAAATTGTCTTTTAGTATTCACTGTAATTCTCTTTATGTTTATGATGCAGGTTTGTTATCTGGGAGCTTGAATGGTATGATTATCTTAATGATGATGATGATTATCATTAAAATTAGCAGTAGTATTTTTGTTGTTATTATTTCCATTCACCCTTTGAAACACAGCTTTTATCTACCCAGAGAACAAAATGGCTAATTCGGTTAGTAACAAAAACAAAAATCCAGCAGAGGTTGCACATTATGTATTCAAGCAGTGTCTCAGCAGCATGAAGCAGAAAACCTTTAGAGCAGCCCGTGAAAGAGCAGTAGACTGGGAGAAGGATATAAAAGAGCAGGAAGCCACTGTAGCAGAGCATGTTACTAAAGTTCACGGTGATCTTCATCACCTTGCAGATGGGACAAATGACATCCATTCATAGCAACCTATTACTGTGTAATACACCACAGTAATTCAATCTGAATCTGCTCTATTTGCCACAAACACATTTTCTCACAGTTCAGCTTGATATTTTCCACTTTGGAATAAAATGTGTTTTCGTATTTTCTGTGCCACATCGTCCCTTTAGGTGTAATTCCTTCAAAATCAAAATTCAAATCAAATGGCGAATGGAGGAAGACAAACAACAAAACCAAGCAGGAGATGATGGGGCGTGCTGAGAGAATGTAATGTCTAGTGGTGTATTTGGTTGTTAGTCATCCCTCTTCCTTTTTTCTTTCCCTCAGGCCAGGAGCGCATCGGGATCAACTCCAAGTACGAGCAGGAAGGAAAGGTACAGTTCGTGATTGACGCGGTGTATGCCATGGCCCACGCTCTCCACAACATGCAGAGGGACTTGTGTCCTGATCATCTTGGCATTTGTCCACAAATGGAGTCTGCGGAAGGAAAGATGCTGCTGAAGTACATACGCAACACCAGCTTCAACGGTGAGTGACACACAGAGGAAACATTCCTACAGACAGCATGGAACAGAACAGTGAAATATTTTTTGTTTTCAGTTTTGGAGACATTTCATAGCTTATACTGACAATGGTAAGTAAGTTAAAATGAGATCACTTGCTGCTTATCATGGCTGCAGATGATTTCTCTTCTGTTGTTTTTTTTTCAACATTGTTTCAAACTCTATTTTGTTGATACAGATAAATCAAGCATACCGTGGATTTGAGAAATACTAGAATAAGAGAGTGTGTAAACATTCATGTGCTTATGGCTGAACCAGCAATAACATAAGTGAGATATGTCTTTGCAATGATATAATGTTTTCTCTCAGTGCTTGAGCGTAAATGAGCCTATGCAGCCCCTAGTACATTAAAGGATACATTTTGTGTTATTGCGGAGATCCATATAAGAAAATGGATGTCACTCTCACATCTGTACAGTAGATATGCAGCAGGAGCCAGCAGCCAGTTAGCTGAGCTTCTCGCAGCTCACTATTTAAAAAATTTATATCCATTCATTATCTATAACGCTTATTCTTTGAGTGTCACAGGGGGAGCTGAAGCCAATCCTAGCGGGCATTGGGCGGATGGCAGGTTACCCTGCCAGTTTATCACAATGCCAACATACAGAGACTAACAATCATTCACGCCTACGATCAATTTACAATCTCTAATTAACCTAACCTCAATCTGCATGTCTTTGGACTGTGGGAGGAAGCCTATGGAAATCTCATGCAGACACAGGGATAACACGGGAACCCTCTTATTGTGAAGCGACAGGGCTATCCACTCTTATACCATGCATGCTGTCCAGAAGCATGTTTTTTTAACCTGTAAAAAAAGTGAAAACTCAATGTGGAAAGAAGCAATGCAATGTGTTGATTAATTAACATTTTAGAAAGAGGCAGGCTAGCTCTTTCCCTCTGTTTCCAGTATTTATTCTAAGCTAAGCTGATCATATTTTTGCTTCAACAAAATATTTATCAGACTTGGCAAAAGAGCAAATAAGGATAATTGAAATACCAAACTTACTTTTACTGCTATGTTGTCTTAGAATATAAGGTACTGTGGGTTCATTTCGCTCTCTAGGGCCAAGATAAAATATATCTTAGAGAAAAACTGAATAAAGGACATAAAAACCAGAGTCATCTCGAACTATAAAAATTTGGTAATGAATGCATACTGTACCACCTTGTGATATGCATCAAATGCAGTCGCTTGTGGGCTGACTACAATTTAAATTTGCATTTAGATTCATTTTTAGTTAAAAGCACCACAATGTTTTCTTGATCTATCTAATATTTACAGCCTATGTGATATATTGATGGTCTACCAGTACTTGAACCTCCATATAATTCAGCCCTGTGCAGAAAGTGATGTGGATGATACTTAACAATTAATGGCAAGTAGCTATTAACGACAATGGCTCTGGAATGAAGGAGTGGAGGAGAAGAGCCAAATGGGAGCTGGGTTAAAAACAAGAGAAACCTTTGTCTTTACAAATATGCTGGTATGTATGTCAGCCAGTGATCATTAGAGCCTCCTCTGAAGTGCATCGTGTCTTCACAAAATGTTCTAGATAAGATTCTGCTGTTTAAAATCAGAAATCCGCGTAATCTTCTCAGGAAACCGGCCTACTTTTAAATGGAGATGCAGTTCAATTTGAGCATTAAAAACACTGATCTAATTTAATGGATCATGTGGGAAATATTTACTTCTTTAGACATATTGTACTAATGATTCACACAATATCCAAGTCTTTTTTGTATTTCGTTTTCTACTTCTTTGCTCAATGATGTGTACACTTCATGATTTGTCGCGTATACAATATAAACTGCAGAGTCCCATGGTTGAAAATGATCAGGGAGAAGAAAAATCATGGTTATTTGCCAGGTTAAATGAATGACTGAAAAAATTTGAACACAGACAGGCTTTTCAAAAAGATTCTGCCATGAAAAATATGAACTAAGCGTGGGCAGCAGAGATCAAGTCATTAGTTTTCTCTTGAACCTACAGTTCATCTCAGTGGAACCTCAGGAATTCAAAAATGTCCTTTCTAGTCCGATGATCAAACTAAATTACGATTTCGTTTCACTTCATTATTCAGTCAGAGATGTTTCATGTTAACCATTTTCTGTTTGACAGGTGGAGATGTTTTGTTTTGCCAAAACCGATCAGTGCCAGCCAGGTCCCCTCAACACCTTTTTCAGTGTTTATAGGTAGTGGCTTGCTGTCAGATCAAGCAGGACGAGCAGTGCTTGACCAGTTAAAGCTAAAAATAGGAGCTCTGTCTCATAAAGGATCCGATGTTGCTTGTTTGCATTTATCTCTGAACATAGGGCTGTTTGATTGTGTTTGTGTGTTTTTTACTGAGGAACATGTGTTGCTCTTCGATTTTTACACACTTACCGTATTTGAATCACAGTTTTATTCTACAGGGCTTAATCCCTTTATGTCCATTCATAATTCTATCTACAAGCTCTGATTTGCTTTTGTTTTCTGTTTTTTCTTCCATACAACCACCTACTTGAAAAAACATCAGAAGATGTTGGCAGTGGTTCAAAGGTCTGGAGTCAGCCTTTGAAATTTCTACAAGCATTATATATAAGACATGGCTCAAATCCCAGCAAAAGACTAGGCATTCATTTCTCTTAATGCTTTCTGACTGGCCTTATTTTCCAGTGGCCACCGTTGCAAATGGGTCACCATTATCTAATTCTGCTTTTTAAAAAGAGGGGCGGCTCGGTGGTGCACTGGTTATCAGCGTCACCTCACAGGAAGAAGGAGCGGCCTTTCTGTGTGGAGTTTGCATGTTCTCCCCTTGTCTGTTCTCTGTGGGTTCCTCCCTCAGTCTAAAGACATGTAGACTGGGGTTATGTTATTTGGAGACTCTAGATTGTCCGTGAATGTGAATGTAATTGTTTGACTCTGAATGTTGACACTGGTGACCTGTCCAGTGTGTACACACCGCCTCTCGCCCAGTGGGATTTCTTCCTGCTAACTCTGTGTCCTGTGTATTAATGCATGAAAAGCAACTCTAGTTGCTTTGATAACAGCAGCTAAAACCATTTATGATAAAACAAAGAAGAAAATAAAATTTATATAAATAGCAGGTTGAGCTAAAAAGCTGGAAAGGATAAAACGGCCATCAGGTAATTTTAAATTCAGCTGTGCGAGATAAAACTAAGACATTTTCTGGTAAAGAAAATAAAAAAGGTCAGGGGAAGGCTAGTACAAAGATGTGTCTTAAGGTTTCTTTTGAAACTGTCAGTAGGTGTAGAGCCCCTAAAACCTTCAGGGAGGCTGTTAAACAGTTTTGGGGCGTAATTAACAAAGGCTGCCTCTCCATGATTTTTAGTTTTGACGTCAGGAACGATCAAAAGGTTTTTCTAGTCAGAGGATATCAGGGACCGAGCAGGCACATATTTTTTAAGCATGTCTGCCAGATGGAGGAAAAAGCAATCCAGTGATTCCAAAACTAGTATAAGAATGTTTAAATTAATTCTGTGACTGACAGGTTACAGTGGACAGAGATTAAAATTGGAGTGATGTGGGCTCTTTTTCTGTTTTTTGTGAGAACCCCTGCTGCTGGATTCTGCATTCAGATAAACGGTAGTGGAGGGATGGATGGATGGTTTTAAAAAGCCCTAAATCAAGCTAATGTGACACAAACAGGAACCATAATAGCAGAAGTAAATGGTGCATTGAGGACGTTCAGTTGTATATTAAGTGTATCAAAATGATGCGCTGAAATAAAGGAACATCCAGTGCAGTGATGCATTTTAAAATAGTTTGTAGACTACACTGTAGGTCTGTGGCACAGAGGAATCAAATATAATATCAATCTTCACTTGGCCACACTAACAATACTGTGGGTATTATTCGTCATTACATTTTTAATGGGTTTTGAACACAATATCACTGGACATAGGTTTTTGCATAATTAAAGTATGATAAGTAACATTATGATCTTAAATGATCCATTAAACATTTGGTTCTTATAGGGTAGTGCATCTCATATTCCTTTGTTTTGTGTACAGTGTAGGCTTTGTAAAAGTTACACTTTATGATTATTTATGTACAAAAATGTGTGAAAGCGACTTCCCAGTGAGCTAAGGGCTAAAGAAATGTCTGCCTTTGTCTAATTCTGTCGCTATGGTAGCAGTGCAGAGTTCCAGCAGGCAAGAAACCCTCCGGTTTTAAGGTGGAACCAAAGGAACAAAATCTGTGCAATCCTTTGAGCCGTGCTAAAAAGTCCAAGGACACCTTAACTAGGTGCAGATTCATGCATGGGACTGGGAAGCTGCTGCTCAGTCTCAATAACCATCTGGGCTTCTGTTGACTTTTCTGGGGTTTTTCAGCTTCTGAAAATAATTTACCTCAGTGTCTGTGACAAAGGATTATTTCACCTGAGTCAAAAATAAGATCTCCACCTTCGGCATCTCCTCCACCTCTCCCTGTCTTGCCATTGTATTCTCTGCCCTTTTCACAAGCGAGTGAATGTTGCTCTCCTGCAACTCCGTCAGGCATTTCTCGCTGGCCCTTATTGCATTTGGACTGGAACCACGCACATTATCCTGTGTATGTGCCAGCGCTAATGTATGTTTGAGAGTGAAAGAGTGTAGGCCTCCTTTGTTGATCTCCCCACTGTGTCGGAGTCACAGAGCTGAGGAGTGAAAAGCAGAAAAAAAGGGGAGAATAATGATGCGAGAGAAACACAGCAGTGGATCCCCAGTCCACCCACACTGCTCAGTACAGCACAGCAGCCGTGCACTTTTGTCATGTCTTAGTTCAGAGCCACATGCAAATGCATGAATCTTTCATCTTAGACCGCGGTTTCACTAAGGTGTATACGCAGACAATTTTGTTCCCTTGAATAGCCAACAGAAAATGTGAGGGAATTTCTAATGCCTTTTTATCTGCACACAGACACACCACTTAATTATTTGCTCTAAAGCTGAAGAGCGTCGAGTGCCCAATCACTCGTGTCACTTAACTGAGCAACTGTGTGTGTTTTTGTTATTCGTATAAGCTGCTATATTTTTCCCTTGCTGGGGGGGGGGGAAGTAAGAATAGTAACCCTGTCACTGTTATTGCTTCCATGAGTCAATACCTTGTCAACATCCTTTTACAGTGTGTCAACAAGTCGGCCGTGTGTTCGGTGGAAGCAGAAGTGACAGAACGCTGGCTGCCACCCGCCAAGTTTTAGTTTGGTTTTCATAACATTTTTCACTATGGACTTCACAGGGGCTTTGCAGGGGCTTCACAAGGATAAGTGCTATGGCTAATTAATTAATGATCGAATAAAAAGGCTTCTTAAGTACAGTTGAATTCATTTTGAAAACTTGTCCAGCTTCATTTTCTGCGCTGACACATGGTTTCCAATGAAATAGTCCTTGACTTTTAAATGAAAAGACAGATGGTTCAAATGACTCCAGTGGTGCAATTTCTGTATTGTTAATATGGAATATGTCTGCTGCCACTTAGCATAACAGAAGATAGTGAGGGATGTGTGGCTCTGCATCATCATGGAAATGGCTGCTTTAAGTCTTATCAGCTGACGTTAGTGCACAATAGTGTCACAGAGTCAGGGAAAAAAATAATTTGGTTGCTCGTACTGAGCATTTTATTAAATTGGCCTCACTGGCCTGTGAAGGATTTTTTCATTCGCTATTTCCGCCTTTCTTGTTTCACAAGTCTTTTGCCTTGAAACTTTTGTCCAATGTTCAATGACAAATGTCCTTGGGAAAAAAAAATGGAGGGAGATGAAATTCCCTCTTGGCTGAAAAAATAAGGAAAAGGTTTAGTGGCCTTCCATCCGAAAGCCACAAGCTCTGTTCTAGATACAAAAGACAACACGTTCCCAAAAGTGTTTTGGACGTATGCTGCTGCTCCCTTCTCTACACTTTTTATAGCCAGAGCTATTAAAGTACTTAATTCCCATGCTAAGTGTTATCAGACTCCCCCGTCCCATTTCAAAAATGGTATCTCCATTTGTGCTGATGAACTACTGTATGCTGTGCCAAGGTGAAAAGACTTGCAGCAGCTCAGCCCTTTGTTTTATGTATAAAATAAAGCACAACCATTGTTCCCATTAATGCTTTTCCACATTCACTGCTGCGAGGGGGAGCTCATGTTGAGTGACATCTTAAAACACCTTCTTGCACTCACTATGCAGCCATGAGGATTGTTTTATTGAATTAACCTGCACACATCCACACATATTAGTGTAGTCACATCTGAGGACTGAGAGCTTGCACAGCTACACACTTAAAAAACTCTATTACTATATTTTTTTCTTTCCTCGTGCGTATGTTTCAGGTGTCTGCAGTCCTCTCTGAGCTAATTAGTGAAATCTTCGGGGCTCGGCTTGACACAGGCTGCTCCACGCTGAGAGCAGATGGGGACCATATGATGCTTTAGCTGACCTGTTTATCCTCGCTACATCTCCTGTTGTCCACTGCGTGACTGAAATGCGTTGCTTTTAACCCAAGGAGGTGCATGCTCATTGTAAACAGCGGTCAATTTCTGATTTCAGAGTGCAGCTGAGAGCCCACAGATCTGACCGTGTTTTGAATGTGAAAATATTTTCCTCCTGTCATCGTTGTGCAGCTAAGATGATGCATAGGAAGCAGGTGAGGAAGAGTTATGTTGGTCAGTAGGGAGCCCGATTCCCTGCAGCAGATTATCATGAAGGTTCAACATGTAGGTCACGATGTTTGGAGGAACAGACGCACACACACTGAGATCCTTTATGTTGTCCACGTGTGGGCTACCACACAACGAAAGGCAAGGGGTTAAAAGTTCATGTTTTTCTCATATTACAGGAGGTGTTTTACCCTCTAACATCAGCCTCTAACACCTTTCTCTTCTGCTGTCCTTTTGTGTCCTCTCTCCTGCTATGTACAGGCAGCGCCGGCACCTCTGTTGTGTTTAATAAGAATGGCGATGCTCCAGGACGCTATGACCTGTTCCAGTTCCAGATGACCAATTCCTCCACCCCAGAGTACAAGATGGTAGGACAGTGGGTGGAGACGCTTCAGCTCAGGGTATGACAGTTTTCAAATACCAGGAGCCCGAATGGTGTAAAATGTTGTTTGTATGCTTGTGTCTAAACAGGGAATCAACACTCAGTGATGCAAAAGATTCACTTGAAGCCACCTGATGGCTTTATGTGTTTTCCAAAATTGAAATGTCTTATGTGACAAGGAGGTGCATATCATTTGCATCTCAAATACAGAGAGCACTCAGCTGCAGACAGGCTTTACTTACATTCTAATTGATGCATATTAGATGCAGAAAATTAATCTGTTTGTGCAATTTAGCAAGAAAAACAAAGTGTTGCTCTTAACCCAGCAGATAACTCTTTAAAAAGCCATCAGGTGTAGTGTTGTCCTCCAGCAGTTAACATGTTCAGACACACAGCACAGTCTGGTTGATGGTTCACATTCAAATGCTGAATCATATCCCATGTTCCTACATAGAGTTACCTTTAGACTTTATTTCACAAATTAAGTGTTTCTAGTCGTACTTGAAAAACAGTTTTTTCAGAGGTTATTAGGGTCCAAACAGCTGCTTTTAAGAAGCGACAACGATGCAATTAAACCAACAACAGATTTTAATCTCAGAGTGTGAATAAGGATAAAAGGCAGTAATTATAGTGTGATACATTTTGTGTGCTATTAATCTGTTTCTACCTGTAAAAGGATGTTGGGGCAGAACAAAAACCTCAGACAGGGCTTTATTTTAGAGTCCCAACATTAGAAAGAAGAAAGCAGAAAGAAAGGGCTTGCTCTCACTCGGTTGCTGAAGATCACGCTTCTCCCACTGCATAGGTTGGAGGACTGACGGTGAAGGAGAGTGGGAGGAAGAGAAAAAGAACATGTTTTTAACCCAAGTGTCAGTCCATATATGATCAGTCTTTGGCAGCAGGGAGCTGCTGAAGATTTTGATGCTGTTAGAAACTGATGCCTAAATACACACCTCCCGTGTCACAGTTGTTGCTCGGCAGCTTTTACTGCGGGTTTTACTGTACTGTACACGATGAAACTCAAAATCTATGATCCAAAAATTGAAATTTAAAGTGCACCCCAGAGTGAAAGATAAATCATATGGAAAGCTCTAGGTACTCCAAGGATTTTATTACAAAAATAAGTGAAAATGTAATTTCATTTTTGGCATTTCCAAATGATAGGAGTGGAACCCATGGGGTAACAGAATGGATAAGTCGTTTTTCATTTCATGAAATCCTTAAGTAACTTTGATTCACCTGTAAAAAAAAAATACTTCTACTACAATATTAGTGGTTGGGGCAGCGCTGGCTTAAAATTACACATATTCGATGATAGAATGACACCTGAGCTGGAATATTTATGTTTTTCAATGGAACTCAGATTATAATAAAAGAAAAACATGACATTTACATACAGATGAGTTAACATTTGCATAATAGTGCCCTGGATCAGAAGAATTAAATTCAGTTGAAGGGATTTGATAGCACAGGTGGAACAATGTGTACTGCTGCAGTTTAGTGCTTCATTCTGTTTTAGTGTGATTACAAACCAAATGCTGTTACAATACAATTATATTCCGATGCAATAGACATTACCTTGTTCACTAACACATAAAGAGAAATCTAATTTAAAGGTTCCTGATGTACTTTGCCATCTCCCATAAAGTTCACTATGAGACCATCCCAGCTCGCGAAAGCTCAAATTAACTGTAAAATGATCAGCTACAGCAAAACCCAAATGAAAACTATAGCAGCCATACGAGTCCAAGGTGTCAAAAATCTTGCTTCTGGTCTCCATGGAAACAGAGCGTTTGGTCTCATTACTGTTTCCACACTGTGTGTAATCGGGAGGTTTTCCAGAGAGCACCATTTATTGTCCAAATAACAAATGGCACCTTCATGCCCCCAGATAAATGGCAGATGATAATCTACACAGACACCACAGAAACAACACATTTGTCATAGAGGGGTGTGTGCATGTGTGTGTGTGTATGTGTGTGTGCGTGCATGCGTGTGTGTGTGTGTGTGTGTGTGTGTGTGTGTGTGTGTGTGTGAGTGAGTGTGTGTGTGTGTGTGTGTGTGTGTAAACCTGCACCTTTGTANTGTGTGTGTGTGTGTGTGTGTGTGTGTGTGTGTGTGTGTGTGTGTGTGTGTGTGTAAACCTGCACCTTTGTATCTGCAATTATAGGAAGCTGTCACATTTTGAGGAGGCTATTCTATTTTTGTCCTTAACTGTACTCATGTTATATGTGATGGTTCTTGTACCTGGAGAAGTTTTATCTGCTGATGTTTTATGTTAAAGATTTATGGTTTTGCAGGGGACGAGACAGACTATTTCTTGGAGTCTTCCTGGAGTCACGCTATCATCGTGACATTGCCAGGCAATCAGCAGTCAGTTTCTGTATGGGCTAATCATGTGGAAGATAACAGTCACTAACTAGTGTGTCCCTCAGTTGAGCACATACTTCCACTAGAGCTCAACAGTCCATTTAAATTCAATCAAACTGCACCAAATTTTGCATATTAAATGATATTGACTACCAAAATATACCTGATGTTTTTAAATCAGGATCCATTAATTATTCCCTGGGAAAATTTTGAGAAAGCTGCAATTTTTAAGTCAGCCCATTGTTACATATTTGCACCAAAATGTATTTGGTCCTTCCATGACTGTACCGTACTAATCCTGTAAACAGTTTCATGGAAATCCGTGCAGTTGTTATTGCGTAATCTTGCTTACAAACAAACTAAAATACAAACGTGCAGGGGTGAAATCTCAGTGAGTTTTAGATGTGTTTGTTTTACCTTTCCTCTTGTTTCCAGTCTTCATGTTAAGCTAAGCTCACTGTCTGCTGACGGACAGTTAACAGTTTTCTACATTTTAATTAATTTATTTACTTTGGTGTAATCACTGATACTGTATATTTCTGTGAAACTGCCTAAGCCATGCATCTTTAATCTTCTGGTGCTTTTAAAGCCATGGATCAGTACACGTTCATAATAAATCAAAAGATCTGCTCCGAGTTTTATTAAAGCTTTTTTTAACTCCCTACCAGAATATGTAAGAGCCCTAAAAAATTCAATTTCTTCATGACTTTTTGGGCCAAGTTGTACATTAAAACTACAGTTTGAGCTTAAATCATGAAACACCTCGGGGTGTTTTTGGATCGGGGATCCAGATCGTTCTTCAGTGCATCTGTATACTGCACTTTTTTATTTTGATGGCAGGATCATAAATAGAAATAGCTCTGCAAAATCCAAATGAGGCATTTTGCAATCCCAAATCCCATTCTCTCTCCTTCTCATCACATATTTCATACCTCACTGGCTCCTGTATTAAAACATAATGTCTTTTGCATTTCATATTTCTTTATTTTTATTTCACCGAACAAAGGTAAGCTGCGTTGCCATGGGGATTTCAATTACTTTCAAGTATTAGACAAAGGCAATCCCTCTAAGACATTGGCAGGAGAGATGTTGCACTGTATTAGGTTAATCGTTTTTTTGACTACCTTAAATTCTTTGTGCTTTTTTGATTGCATTGTTCCTTGTTTTTGCAAAGAAGGTAATAGTTATATTAACTAGTGGCCAGTTAATGTAAAAGTTAGGTATTTTTCACTATCCACATTGTTGCTGGTTGCTTATCTCTTTTGGTATCTCTGGTTTATCTGCCTGTTACTAACACTGTCTTCTCGCGCTGTGTCATCTCTCTCTCCCAGCTGGAGGAGCTTCAGTGGCCAGATGGGGAGCAGGATGTGCCCATCTCTGTGTGCAGTCTGCCCTGCAGGACTGGAGAGAGGAAAAAGAGGGTAAAGGGCATGCCATGCTGCTGGCACTGTGAGCTCTGTGATGGTTACCAGTACCAGTACGACGAGACTTCCTGCAGACTGTGTGCCTATAACATGAGGCCCAACCCCAACAGAACCGCCTGCCAGCCCATCCCCATTGTCAAGCTGGAATGGCACTCACCATGGGCAATAATCCCCGTCTTCCTGGCCATGCTTGGAATCATCGCCACCATCTTCGTCATGGCAACATTCGTGCGCTACAATGACACACCCATCGTGCGAGCGTCGGGCCGAGAGCTTAGCTACGTGCTGCTGACGGGTATCTTCCTGTGTTACATCATCACCTTCCTCATGATCGCCAAGCCAGACGTGGCCGTGTGCGCCTTCAGGAGGATCTTCCTGGGCCTGGGCATGTGCATCAGCTATGCCGCGCTGCTCACCAAGACAAACCGCATCTACCGTATCTTCGAGCAGGGCAAGCAGACGGTCACGGCCCCGAGATTCATCAGTCCCACCTCCCAGATCGCCATCACTTCCAGTCTGATCTGTGTGCAGCTGCTGGGCGTGCTGGTGTGGTTCGCCGTGGACCCACCAAACACCATCATCGATTACGATGAGCAGAAAACCATCAACCCCAAGCTGGCCCGCGGCGTGCTGAAGTGTGACATCACAGACCTTCAGATCATTTGTTCACTGGGCTACAGCATCTTGTTGATGGTGACCTGCACCATCTACGCCATCAAGACACGGGACGTACCGGAAGACTTCAATGAAGCCAAGCCCATTGGCTTCACTATGTACACCACTTGTATAGTGTGGTTGGCCTTCATCCCAATTTTCTTTGGCACAGCCCAGTCGGCAGAGAAGGTGAGTCATTTTTTTCTCTGTTGCTTTCTCTCTGCCTCTCCGTCACCACCCTTTTCTTTGTCTGTCTCTCACTCCTCTCACCAATTTCCCTTTCATTGCTTCAGCCCTGTTTTTATCTTGTCCAAACACATGCACACATGCATATTTGTACAAATGCAAAACGAAAACACAATCAGAACATAAAGAGGGCTCACACACACGCATGTGCAGTTATTGGTTCAATTTCTTTTGATTTCCTTTTCACATGGTGCAAGGAAACCCACACTAGGACATCGCAGACAAAAATAGGCATCTACAGTAAAGGCGGAGGAAGAGTTGATGTTCAGGAACAGAATCCTGAAATGCCTGAGGAGTAATACGGATGGGGGTGCCCGCAGATCTAGATGCCATTATCTTAGCTCTCACAGGCATCATATACCATCATACCTTGTTCCGCAGAGGGAGACAAGCGGGTTGAGGAGGTGGATGAAGAGGAGGGTGAGGAGATGAAGGAGGAGGAAGCCAGGGAGAAATGGGGGTGGGGGGGGTAAATAGAAGTTTGATTCAACACATTCCATCTCCTGACAGCTGCACTCCACTCAACAAAGCATTTGACATTGGGTGCTACTGGAGTTGATTGAGAATATGACATTTTGACCTTCTGTGCTAGTCATTGCTTATCTCACCAGCGCTGGGCAGAATACAGATGCATTCATCTGCCGGACTCATAAGTTGCGCGTGCTGCACGGCAGGCCAAGGTACAAGACGGAGCGGAGGGGGAAATTTTCCACTGAGAGGACATCGATGCTGACAGGAAAGTGTTACTCCTAACCTTTTGAGAGGCACACCGTTCAATATCCTTCCTGCTAAGCTACCGCCTGAGATGGATCAGAAGCTGATTTTCCTCATCTCAGTTTGCTGCTGATTTCATAGATGAATTACACCCTCAGCAGCGATTAGGAGTTCATTATGTTACTCCTGGTGACGAGTGAAGCAGTAATGTGTTTATGTTTCCCCTTTATGCAGTTAACTCTTTCTTCACACCAGCTCCTGCACTCACGCTCACCTCCAGTTCACACCACATTTTCCTGCTGTAATGGCCTTTGCGGGTGCATTTCTCCACACTCCCCAGCCACTGCTGGTGCGAAGTGCCTTTGCATGTCTTCATAACATCCTTTTGCAAAAGCTGCAGTGTAGTTAAGGTGAAGTGAGGCCATGTTATCCATCATTTCAGCTTGTTTATGCTGAGGGTTTCAGCACACATTCCTCACATCTGTTTCTGCAACAACTATATTTACTGGGGAATAAGACTCCATCATGAATACTTCACTAAAATAATGGAACAAAATACAAATTTATAAAAAAAATAGTGTCATTAGGTGATAAATAAGATTGATGTTGTATGTTTTTTGTTTGCAGACCTGCATATAAATAAACTACTGGAGGCTGAATGTGATAGTTTTGACTATATCCTCATTTAACGTTCTTTGCCCTATTGGGTTTTTATGTGCAGATGTGGCTCAACACCCACACAGATTGGAGTAATCTCTCTCACCGCAGGTTGTCCACTATCAAAAGACTCTGAAATGATATGATGCCAGTTTCCAATTATAATAAAAGAGAAAAGCTGCGTGTACGGCCTCGTGTTGTTTTGCTACATTGTGTTGCAGTAGTAGTTGTGAGTTTCTTTTAACTAAGCACCATTTAGATGCCCATATTTTCCACACCTGTGCCTCCCTCCCCCTCCCTCTGGTTCGCCCATTCAAACTCATGTTGAGGGAATCCGTGTGGAAACGGTAGCAAAAGATCACAGAGCACCCCCCCCCACACACACACACACACACACACACAAACACACCCCACCCACCCCCCGCCGTCCGCCTCATCCGCACCTGTGTGTGCTCAGTCAACTACTCAACACTCTCAAGTTAATGACTGTGAGAGTCACCAGCACCAAAATTCATCTGTCCTCGGGCCAAGAGATCAAATCACTTATGAAAACAAACTGCAGGCGTTTGAGTCACTTCAACGCACACTCTTAAACAATCACACACCTGAGACATTTGTAAAAGGCTAGAAATATTGTTAATATACAGTTTGTTTCCTATGAGTGCGTAACCAAAAGTGGAACAAGATGCACATCCCGTAAAAACAAATTGATGGTTGCAAAAACATCCTCACACCTAGAAAGCTCCTGGTAAAGGACTTCATGAATTCTGATAGATACAGTGTTGCCATCTTAAATACCATACCATGTATACCATACATAGTAAATATCATAATAAATACATACAAAAATATTGGACAAAATACTATAAGGTCTTTCATCACCACAGACAACAATACAACATTCAATAGGACGTATAGATGAATATGTAGAGAAACATGCACTCATGATGGAGAAATATCTCAGATCTAATACAGTAAGTAGTGGTTTAAAGCTCAATGGGCTAGAGTGCCCATTGTGTACATCCACAAAATGTCATGTTTAAGGGCACAGAGCTAATGTCTCTCCCTCTGCCAATATCAATACCAATATCAATTAGTCTGCCCTAGTTGGTCAACCAATGAATCAGTCACGAAATATATTTAAAGGATACATTCAATGAACATGAAAACCAGCAAACAGAACAACGGATGAAATGATGAAACACTTTCCGTGAGGCTACGAAATGTTCGAGTAAAACACCCACAAGAGTCACACTTTAAAAGAGAACATCGTGTCACGAAAACTCACACAATATACAATGAAACTCACATAATAAATAAATAAAATTGACGTACATGTCTGGAAACCACTTAGGCTCTTGTAAGACGTCTCCTGCACCCACATGAACTTCTCAAAGATGGACAATCCTGCCAAGTATCATTAGCAATGACAAACTGTACTTGCGAAACCCTTCTCACTCCATCTTTCAGGTTAAACGAAAATTGCAACTTATAATCCTCTTGTCTCCCTGCAAACAAATGCACTTGACAGGAGTTCAACCTGACACTTCCTGCAGAGATGTGGAGTCTCCTAAAGTAATGTGAAATTTCTAGGCCCATCAGTTTTATGCTTGAAGCCTGCAGCAGACTGCACCAGAGGCAAAGTGCAGGCAAAAACTAAACTAAGTAAAATTGGTCAAGTGTAGTGCAAAGACAGACAGGTTGCAGTTTTTATTTCAAAATCGATGTAGAACATCCCTCAAGATCAAGAATATACCATGACCACCAGCTTCTTTTTTTTTTTTTTATCAAGCAGGAGAAAGCCTGACCCTGTTTTAAACCACTCAGCTGCTAAGTAGGAGTTGTGATAACATGCTGTAGTTTTCAGTTGTGGTTTAGACAATTTGACAAGGCTGAAAAGCTGTCGTGCAGAAAGTAGCACACTTTTTATTTGTAGCTTTTATATGTACGAGTGCTGGGTCCACTCTAAACCTGTCTGTTTGGAAGGAGCTGTCTGCTTTGCATGCTGTGATGTTGGTTGCAGCTTTGTTTCTGAAGCTGTATAAGTGACCTGCAGTTATTTAATTTTAAACGTGAGTTGTTATGAACGCCCAGTTGCCCTGAACCAAAATGTGACTTACTTTCATTAGTCTCACGCTGCTGCCACAGAGCTCTGGTCGCCTGTTTATTTAAAATTCATTAATATTGAATCAAGTGTCCAAGTCACATCAAACTCAACAGTGCACTTCCTTGGGCCCTGAACACTACACATGCCAAGTGTGAAGCCGACAAGATGAAAGGTAATCTCAAGAAATTGTGAGTGATAGACTGACAGACCGAGATTTCAGGACTTATTAGTTAGAAAGGCTAAAAGTTATACAAAATATAATACAAAATAATTTCTTTAGTCTATCTATTTGCACATATAAATAGATTAGAAATGAACAAGTACGATGTGCAGGCTTAGGCAAGATGCCTTGGTGGTCTGGGAATCTTCCTCTAAAAGATGAGAAAGCAAAGTGTAACCAACAACTACATAATGAGGTTTCTTTTCCTGATACAGTAGGGAGCAGGTTTCAGTAACACCTTGTCGACTTTTAGCAAATGGTTCTTTTTTTCAGGCCCATTGTTAGAAAGTTTAGAAATGTTTTTAAAATCTGAATATTCACATATTTATAAGTGACAAAAAAGGGTCAGGGTTTGGAACTGGGGCCATTTAGATTTCACTGCCTCCTTGGCCCCCACCCCTGAATCCGCCCTGTGACAAAATCATCATTTTGGCAACCTTTTTTTTTCCTTGTTTGGAAAAAAAAAAGCATAACATTGCTTCCTGCAGACACAGTATGTGTTCTCCTCTGCTCCAACACTAGGTCAGCCAAAAAATGACTGTTTTCTTCAAAACAGTATCGCTGGAGCTCCAAATTTAGGCCGAGGCCTGAACGGTAAGGAGTTATTCCCTCCTCTAGGATACTTCCTGGATAAACATGGGCCCATGAGCCTTAACACAGGCAGAGCAGGTTTTATGTCTTATAGCCTCTTTCTGTGCCAATTTTGAAGCCCAGAAATGAGGATCACCCGTGTAGAGTCCAAATAAAGGGAAGACCATCCACACAGAGAGCTGTGTCTCCAGTATGGAATAGGATTTTGCAGCGAAAAGCCAGACAGAGTTATTCATGACATGAGGCGGGCGAGAAAGTAGGCCACCCAAAACAACAAGAGACATGCAGGTAGTTGAGAGGAGACTTCAAATACTCTGGATCCATTATTGAAGGCACTCTCTAATGGGGCAGAGAGCATCCTAATTGTCGCTTACAGAATCAAGTCCTTCTCTGTATGCATTTATACAAACTATCCACAACTGAACTACACCCAACTCAATTGCTCTTGCAATAAGTATATCCCTTGTGGGCGTAATTATGAGAATTACCCTCAACAGCTTTTTGTCTAATGGAAAAACATGCCGTTTGTTGTGGCTAGCTGTTGGCATTTTTCTTGTCAATGAGATGTAAAATCTCAAAATCAAACATTTGATTCCTGATGAGGACGTTAATAAATCATCACGCTGGCTATAAATAGAGAGTTGCCAAGCAGTCATGAAAATGACTTCATGTATTTATTTATGTTAAAGCAACAGAAATTAATTATGAATGTTCTGTGACAAGCTAAACATTCGAGTGGGGGGTGAGAGGGGCTACGAATTTGGGTCAAGCTCGTAGAGAGGCACAGAAAAACCCTTTCTCGCTGATTAGAGACAGGAAGAAAAAGATTTTAGCTTGGTTTGTGTGTGCGTGCCTGTGTTTGTCTAGCTGCATTACAGGGAGTGAAAGCCTGTAAACCTACACATATTTATTTGTGTGTGTGTTTTTGTCTGTGATATATATGAGCAAGCACCTAATGCTCATTGTGCCTTTGCTCCCGAATCAGTTCTCCTGCGTGGTCAATAAATCAGTTGTGATAGGGTCAGCATTGCAGTGTCTAACGCATCAGAATCTCATTAAAAGCTTATTCCAGCTGTGTTAAGTTGCTCGCACCAAACTCTGAAGTGTTGCTATGGATACCAAACAGGTTACCAACTGCCAAACATGGAAACGCAGCACTGGGCGGAGATCCTCCAGTGATTATATTTGACACCACGTTGTACGTCTTTCAGTACTTTGATCACCCGCCTCGATATCTAATGGTAAAAGCTGCAAATTTGCAGCTCAAGATTCTCAGAGAAGGCACAACATCTCTGTGCTCCCCCCCGCTTAGAGCGACACAGCACCGAGTGCACCGATAGCATTGTGATATTCATACAGTTATTAATGCATGGTGCACCAGCCAGATGACTGCCTGTGATGCTGCTCTCTACAGACTAGCGGGAGGGGATAGCGGGAGGAGGAAGCAGTTGAGTGTATTGGCATGTTGATGATATCAGGCAGGCGGGTGATTGGTGGAGATTGGAAGACAAAAGCATGAGTGGCATGTAAATGAGTCTTGTATGAAAGAAATTACCATTAGTCGTGATGTTTACCAGGGAAAAACTCTATGCAAATGGTGACATTTCTTCCTCTCAGTGTATCAGTGAGCATTTTGCTGCTCTGCAGATACTCTGTGGTGGCTAATGTGCTTACGGTTGTATCCTCTCCCCGTCCACATTACCAGTGGCTGACTGGAAGGCTGCATGTAAGTGACATCTGATGCTTTCAAGTGCAGTAGATTAGTGAGGAGCCATGGCTAACGTGCTCTTGAAATAGTAATGTCCCCTCTTGAAGTGATTCTTTCTCATCAAAGACCCTTAAATCAAATAACAGGCTCTCGTGTGTCTCCTGAATTACTGACTTCACTATTCACTTTGTGAAATCCTTTTTAATGAAGTCACTATAGGTTATCCAGGTTAACCTGAATCATAGCGTGATCTGGGTTATGTAAGCTCACAATAACACTTTGACAATTACGTAACCTCTGAAAAGAAATGTCATGAAAAGAGAATGTACGAGTGTGAGGCTCACATGAATGGTAATCTTATGAATGATCTTACCACTTAAAGCAGTGAGAGCCTCTCACAGGCGGCACTCCACTGCTTGCAAAAAAAACAAAAAAACAAACCCAGACCTGCCGTACACTGCAGATACAGTGCTTAGTCTTTTATTGTATTCTGTATTAGAATGTGCCCAGCTTCAGGAAGCGTGAGAGGAGGAATAAGATGCTCACAGGCTGTAGATTGCAGAGGTCTCAAGTCTTAATCTTCTATTATCAAGTTACTGTTAAATGAGCTATAAAGGAAAAGAAGTCAAGTCATTGATGATCTACTCCTGTTGCCACTGTTTCAAACATTTTGTATGGAGCAGTAACAAAAACTGCTGGAGTCTGGTTATAAATGTTATCAATATTTGACAGTTTGTGGTCGTCAGTCTAAAGCCAGTGTGTAAATAATGCATGTTAGATGGCAGCATGTGAAACAAATAGTCAACATTTGTGACCCGACTGATGCACTTTTAGTGTGTTGTTCATTTCTGGTGTTTCTGTGTGACCACAGTTGCTTACTGGCCGTACATTTTTGTTAGCTACTTTAGCTTGAATAGCCTGAATTGAATTTAGGTAATATTTATATTTAAAAAGTACTTTTTACATGAAAATAAATGTTACCACTCTATATCATGCATCGCAAATCAACAAACGTGTCAAAAATGTAATTAAAAATCCAATTGTTTAATTCAAACTGATTCCATCAAGTTATCTGTGTTAAGTCCAAAAGTCTTTTCATCGCTTGAATCCCCCACATTTGGTTTGATGAATGCCTGAGTGGTGAAATAAAACAAGTGATATAAAGGTAAAACAAAGGTGACGACAACATGTCCCAGTCATGGTCAGTAGTCGAGGGTCCGAGCCTACAGTGGGGATTAGAGTGAAAGAGGCCATGTGAGGACATTTTGAAGTCACGGTGATGCTTCCGCTCTTGTCATTAATACGCTTGAACCGTCTTTGACTTGAGTGAGTTGCTGCAGGTCAGGCTTTAATAAATGCTGCTGGATTATGTTACTGTGCGCATGGATGCTCCTTTCCCCTCAGCTACACACAGCAAATATACAGACCACCTAAGTATCTGATAATAATGTTAAATCGTTAAAACAGGAATTTTGTTATTTAATTAAACTATCAGCTCCTACCAGGAAGTTTTACATCTTACTCGTAAATCAAACAATTATATCTCCTGATCATGCAAGCTCTTGCGTCAAGGGATTTTTCTTGTCTCCAGGTTTGGAAAAAGGACGACCAGTTTTTCACTGGATGCTCATATCGTGTTATCAGGCATGGTTATTATTAGGTATTGCCTCATTGCTGTGCTCAACAGTGTGACTGTTCTGTAATTAGCTACAGATGTTTAGCCATCATAGCTGTATGTCCCTCTTTTTTCTTGATTGGAATTTAAATGCTTCTCCACATTTGAACGCATTTTTTAAAAGATGTCAAATTCAAGTTTATGCCACAAGGAATTCAAACTGTTTCTGCACTAAAATGGCTTTTACCTGTCTGTGCTTTGTTCCAGCTGTACATTCAGACCACCACCCTGACCATCTCCATGAACCTCAGTGCCTCGGTAGCACTGGGCATGCTCTACATGCCCAAGGTGTACATCATTATCTTCCACCCGGAGATGAACGTGCAGAAGAGGAAGCGTAGCTTCAAGGCTGTGGTCACAGCTGCGACAATGTCGTCACGTTTGTCCCAGAAGCCCAGTGAGAGGCCCAACGGAGAGGCTAAGACTGAGCTGTGTGAGAACCCCCCTGCTGACCCCATGAGTAAGTGGCCCATCGAGACCATCGCTGAGCCTCAGAGCCACATACATATGCACCACAAACCATGTTCAGTCAAGCTTATATTAGATCACAATGTTTAAAAGATGACTTCTGGTCAGAATGAATTTAACACAAAAGAAGACACTCCTTCCTAGTTTATTATTAATGAAAGTATTTATATATTCAACAAAAATAAATCACTTTAATGCAGTTATAAGTCGCTATAAAAACATTTTTAAACTATGACTTGTCCCATTCTGAGAACAGCGTCTCACTATATTGTCATTATTTGTCTAGATACACCAGCCTACACATATTAATAAACACTTATATTTGCTTAAAAGGACATGATGGTGTGTTATAAACCCTTTTACATGTCATCTAGACCGCTGATCAATGCAAAGTAGGTG